CACTTTTGAACTGTTGTCACAATTAATGTTGTAGAATATTCTTTCACATTAGGTATATATTTACAATATCCAGTTAGCAATTTAAACCCATTATGTAATTATGGTTTTTAAATATCAAAGGTTGTAAGCAGTTGACTAGAACCTAGGAAATAAAATGAATTCATGCTATTCTGCTAGAATCTTTGTTCTTGCTCTTTTCAAAATGGTAAATGGAACTATGTCTGTGACACTTCAGAAACGTTAGAGCATACATAAAGAAAGATTGACAGCAGAAGTGTTGTATATATGGGCTAGTCAGAACAGCCTGAACGGAAAAGATAATATTCAACTAACAACTATTTGGCAAATGTTTGTTAACAAGCTGTTTCACATGCATCGTTATTCTGATTGGAATTCATATGGGTTATTTTAAGACTACAATTATGTATTTGAGGATTCTCATTTTACATGCACATCAATGATTGAAAAATAAATTCAACCTTTAAATTGCACTTATATTTTCCTTCACAGAAAAACAAATTAACATCGAATATCAACTATTCATAATTGATTGATTACTGGCTGGTGATCAATTTCATGTGTGTCTAGTCCTTGTTAGTGCAGATTGGATGCTATCGATCATGGTGTAATGTGGCCACCAGTCTAGGTGACTCGACACTGCGGGCACTACATATTGAGATTAGATGGTGGTTGGAGGTAGTCAACAGGAAACCCTGGACCCGGGTTTCGTGCTACTTGGCACTCGTCAGCAAGGTGTACCTGTAATCTTGAGGGAACTGGTGCTCCCTGACGGATTCGATCTCGTGTCACCCAGCTTCACAGTTAGAGACGTTACCACTGAGCTATCCGAGCCGCGACCGACATCCTGTAGGACTGAGATGTAATCACGGTTGATTGATCACTGGGTGGTGATCAATTTCATGAGTGTCTAGTCCTCGTTAGTGCAAATCGAGAGCTATTGTGGCTCGGATAGCTCAGTGGTAACGTCTCTGACTGTGAAGCTGGGTGACACGAGATCTAATCCGCCAGGGAGCACCAGTTCCCTCAAGATTACAGGTACACCTTGCTGACGAGTGCCAAGTAGCACGAAACCCGGGTCCAGGGTTTCCTGTTGACTACCTCCAACCACCATCTAATCTCAATATCAACTATAACTAACTCAAGCTTACACACACACACAAACAACTCATTCAGTCATTTATTTTCACACTATTAACTTTCCACATGATTTATCATCTGGATATGACTGGATAAGCACAGTAAAGATTTGATCTGATTGTTAAACATTATATAATTTTTTGTTGATTTTGATTATTATCCTGAAGAAGTCCAGACAAGTTTACTGGACGAAACGTTGGAATGATTTTAAATTTCAATCGCTGAGATTATCTCAAATAGAATTTTCACATATAATATCTATAGTGATTGTTTTAATTTTCTACCACACATCTATCTCATCATTTCATTTATAAGTAATATTAATAATTGATACTTCTATGTTGATGATACCTTCATCGTATGTAATAATAAACAACATGCAATAAATCTGCTAGTTTTTCAACGAAGCACATCCGAATAATCATTTCACTGTGGAGCATGAAAAAGAAAACAAGTTTTATTTTCTCGATATCGCGATGAAAAGAAGAAAGGATGGTACAGTTCAACGTTCAGTTTATAAGAAAGACACATGGAATGGTAGTTATCTTAATTTCAATAGCTTTTGTCCAATCAGTTACAAAAAGGCACTGGTCAAAACACTGTTTCACAGAACAGAAAGAATATGTACTTCCAATACACTAGAAGAGGAAGTTATGAATGTTAAAAAATGTTTAAAGAATAACGGATACCCACTGAAATTTATTGAGAAATACGGCAAATGTGAAGATAAAAAACCGAAAGAAATTACAGCAAATAAAAAGCCTATTTTTATTCAACTTCAATTCAAAGGTGACGATGTCATAGGATCAATCAATATGAGACTAAAAACCGCACTGACAAGAACTTATCCTGCAGCGAAATTGATTGTCCTGTCCAAAACAACATGTTCTTTGACACAATCAAAGGTCGACAGGTATCCCTTTCATGTTACCACCAACTGTGTATACAAATTTACATGTGCCTGTCAAAGCAGTTACATTGGTAGAACAGAAAGGAGAGCCTACGTCCGATTCAAAGAACATATTCCGAAAAGTTTAAGGTTAAATGGATTGAACGCATTCAACAGTGCTATCGCAAGACATCTCCTTGATACAGGACATGAAGTTGATATACTGAAGTCCTTCAAGGTGATTAACAAACAATCAAACTCGAACCTTTTGAAATTCGCTGAAGCGTTAGCAATCAAACGTTTAAAATCAGATCTATGTATACAAAAAGAGACAGTAATAAATCTTTCTTTACCCTGGTAACAACAACCCCCACTCTTTCTATTAATTTGCTCCTATTTATTTATTTATTGCGTCATTATTGCAACTCTTTCTGAAGTTTAAATTACATCATACATAAATGATTGATTTCAATTCATATTTTCTTTATTACCATTAATCTATTTTCATGAGTTCTAATCACTATTTCAATGTTCCAGAACTTTCCCTCTCTAACTTTATTCGAATCAAACATTTTATGAGCTCATTAACTCTATCTGAATCTTTGCTTGTTACATCATCATACACATGTATTGATCCTTCATCACACTCTTATGTATAAATATGTCAATATCTGTAACAATTTGGAATTTCAAATAATTTAGGTTGTAAGCAGCTGATGAGAACCTAACGAAATAAAATGAATCCATTTATTATTCTGCACCAATCTTTGTTCTTGCTCTATTTAAGATAATAAAGGGAACTATGTGTATGAAATCAATCATATTTATTAGAAAATTTGTCAATACTATTTGACTTTAAATCAGTTACCATAGTTTTCGATATTTGGGATGTAAATTATTATCATTATTACAATAAAGAGTATTTCCATGGGTAAGGTCAAGTGACCTCAAGTACATTGTCATTAAGTCTTGTTGAACGATGGTGAATAATATATCTGAAGTTGACTAACATACGCTAGATAATAATTTACAAATAGCAATAATGATAATGGTAATAATGATGGTATTATAGTTCATACATTAGAAGGACGTTTTCATGGTTCATGAACTATTAATTTCGTATGTTTAGTCCTACTTATTTCTGTCTACATTTCCATTACTTGTTGAAGCTTGTCAGAATAGGGTTGTAAAGATTGTTGAGTTGTATTGAAAGTATGAACCGATCACGGTTAGACAATCACTGAAAACTTGGAAGTACTGAACATCTTTTTCGTCATAGTATGGGACTACTCAGCAGTGCACATCCATGACCACACAGGTTATAATCGAGCCCAGAGCATCCGGTCTTTCACCCAAACACTTAATCTCCAGGTCCGTGAACCGACATTTAATGGGGTTATTGTCTAGATTCAATCAATCCACAATATTGCATGGTTTATTGATAATAAAACTTCGAGTTATTTCGTTTTAATTTTGGAATGTTCAAATACTAGAGATTTATTAGATTATGTTTAAGGTATAAAAGAGAACAATGAAGTCATTTTAAAAGTTATTTCTGACTGGATCAATCGAAAACCACAAAACTCCACTACTTATCACTAGAACGTTCACTCAATTACATCAAGAAAAACTGCATTTCATTAAGTAGAGAGTACTGATTTCATATAGGATTAATAAGTTTTCTTATCAAAGTCAGAATCGGATAATGCACAACACAATACTTGATATTCAACTTACTTCACGCTGTTTAAATATCTAGAAAATATGACTATTATTATTCGAAGCAAATAACTGAATAGGATGGCAACTGTCGAAAGTAAACATCTCTAATAACTTCAAAAGAAAACATTATCCAGATAAGAAATTAGAACTCACTTTAACATATTTAGTGAACAGCTTAATCTTCGATACAATTTACGGTTCAACAAGAGATGAAAATATTACTCATGAATAACCTGAAAAGTTCCTTATAATTAAACATTAAATGAAACCTACAAGCGATCATACATATAGTGAAGTTCAGAGCTGAAAAATATCAATTTATAATTGCTTATTGTATTATGTGATTGATATTTAAACTTATTTTACATATAAATAATAATACCTACAATTTAATTCTTCTGAGATGGTGAAGATTTGTTGATCAGGTGGATGATTTTGATGGACATTTATTCTCTGGATGGTTTGGTCGTAGAGCTCGACATCGAGGTCTATAGGACAAGCTGTGAGCCATATGTGGAGAACTTCGAACACTTCACTTCTACCGGACGTTCGTGCTGATGACGTTCAGAAGAACGATGAAAGCTCAACGGTCAAACCATCCAGCTCAAGAGAACAAACCTTCGCTAGTTTAATTCTTTTTCAGTTAGATATTCTTAAATATAGTGATAAAATGATAGTAAACTGTACGAATAGGATAAACTGATAATTGATTTATTTGTACAACGTAGAGAATATGATAAAACTGATGGCGAATGAAGATTTATTTCATCCTCCTCCGTAGTAGTAGCAGTAGTAGTAGTACACGACCTAAACCAATGTAATTAAACTACATTCAATTATAAATCGATTGTACTCACATGTGATCATTGGTCAATGAATATCACTCAAACACAAATGATATAAAGGAAATACCAAAAAAAATCAGTATTCCATAGAATTACCAAAAATGTATGATGGACAAACGAAGTTCACATTAAGTTAATACAAAGAGTATCATCCTAAATAAATGTCACACTAAAATAGAATGAATATTATACGGGACAATTTATCACACTGAATTACAGATGGAAGTAATACTGAACACAAATGATGCTGAGTAAAAATGTGTTTCTGCCTTTTTTTATAAACATACTACTTATATCTGTCGATATAAGTAGCACATACCACTATATACATACATATTTACACAAAAAATATCCGTTTCAGTGCCAAGAAAAAAAACATTACTCACCTTCATTTTATATTTACAAACTGGATCAAATTCTCCACCCAGTATAATCATTGATGAATGTTTTATTTCATAAATAATATAAATCCATAATGTAACAAATAGCAATAGTGCAACTAAACGATATCCCGATGACATAATTATGTATTCACAATAGTAATGAGTGAATAAATGTTAGCAACTTTCACGTAGAGTAATAATAAATTTCTATTTTTTTTGTTTTACAAGTTACGGTCAATTTTATTGTAAAAATATACGGGACATATAGAATAATTGGTTGAGTAACAATTGAATTAAAATGAAATGAATTACTGATCTCAACATGTTAGTTGGTTATTCATTTATCTGTCAGAAAATGCATTTTCTTCTTATGGTTAATACAAAATAAATATAAGAAAAATCACCCAATCAGAAAGCAGTTTCAAATTGTCCAATCATAATAAATGATTGTTTCTATAAGATATAACAACGTCTTAGCAACCAATCAAAACAATGCATTTTGTGACAGTATTTGGCAGATAATTTGATGCTCCTATTGTTTGTGTTTTGTTATTTTTTATTGGTTTTAAAGTAATTAATTGTTATATATTTCTTGATGGTAAATTATTTTTGTCGTATTATCAGTAAGATAAATGATTTATGTGTGATATACATACAATTGGGGCAAGATATTGGGATACATATTTTTGGGTATACATTAATAAGAGCACCAATAAAGATGGGGAACAACAAAGAGTAGTGAAATGTAGACTGGGTTTGTGAAATTGTTACAAAACAGCCAACGAAATACAGTCGCATTCCAGATTCAGTGAAGGTAGATGAGTATAAAGCAATAAGTAGAATAAAAATATAATCGAGAAGTATCACTAGCGGAAGCAGCATATCAAATAGTGGCTGCAGCATCTACTGGTTTATTGTATGCAGTGCTATCTCAACTTCCAGCTGTTATTGGAATGAAACAGAGAATTCGACGTGTATGATATAGTCATCAGTCACACTTATCAAATTCAAGTTTGTTGAATCCGATAAACTTATCATGTAAATGTAAAACAACTATGAGGGAAGAGAATTTCCTGCTTCATGACAGTGAGCCTGATAAAAATATAGCTTCGATATTTTCTACAACTCAGAATATGGGACTGTTGAAGAAATGTCTTTATTGGTATGATGAGGAGACATTCAAAACATCACCAACTTTGTTTACTTTACTCTGTGCAATTCATGTTATGAACTTTGATATTATTTTTCCCTTTATGTATGTCGTAATTCATGATTAAAAGTAGGAATTCATATGTGTACACAATCAATAAGTTTGAAAAACCGCACTAAGTTTTATATCCATCAACTACCGTTCTTAACTACCAACATCCAGCTTTTTCATGATTTCAAAAAGTATTTCCGAACGCAGTACAGCAAGGTTGCCTATTCATTCTGAATTAATAGATATGGCGGAGACTTCAGCAACGTTATATGGCCGACGAAATTTTTTTTGTGTATTCATACTCCTTAGGGTCGCATTTGGTAGTTTAATGGAGTCTCTATCCTACTGAAAAAAATGATGAGATCAGAGAGTTAATCAACTTTTTCGAAGGCACTTGGAGCTGAAACCGGCAAGACATGCCGCAGTTACTCGAATTTCTGGATTACATGGCGGACCGTCAATAATTCAGTTGTGGAAAACCTTCATAAAACGAAAAACTAAACGGGTGACATAGCCAACTTCTGATTGTCCCTCATCGAAGTATACGGGGATTCACTGATGCTCTGGAAAAAGTATGAAATTTACATAACGTTCTCCTATCCACACTGTCAAATGCTTTCTCATGGTCAAGGAATTTGATGTATAGTGACGAGTTCTATTCGATTGATTGCTCAACAATTATCCGTAGTGTTGCTATTCGGTCTGTGCACGAACGATGCTTACACAATGCAACCTGTTGATCTCGAAATTTTGGCGTCTACTGCGTCTTTCATCCGGTTCAGCAACACTCTGTTGAAAACGTTTCCTGGTGTCGATAGTAGTGTGATGCCTGTGTAGTTCTCAGACCTCCTTTCTTTGATATATTGATGAGTATCCTTCTTTCCAATCTATCGGTACTTGGTCTTCCTCTCGAGTCTGCCTGAATAGAACGTGGAGCATGTTTGCACTTGCTTCTATGTGTGACTTCAGTGTTTTACCTGGTATATTGTTAGGTCCTGCTGCTTTCCCGTTCTTGATTTGTCTGACGATCATACTGATTTTTTCAATGACTGTTTGAGTGACCATCTATAGGAATGTCTGTAGGTGCTACTTCGATGTCCGGTGGATTCAATGGAGCTGGTTTATTCAACAGTTCCCCGAAGTATTCCACCCATCTGTTCGGTTGTTTAATATTTCCTTCTCTTGCAGTTTTTTCCGCATATTTCTGTTTGTCGACTCTAATACTTCTCTTTACTTTTTTGTTTGCTTTTGTGTATTCAGCTTGTGCCTAACTTTCTCTGTTTTTGTTCGACTGTCGTTAATCGCTATCTTCTTGTTCTTTCTTTCTTGAATCATGTTCAGGGTTTCCGTAGAGATTTATTCCTTATGATGGTACTTATTGCAGTCTAGAACTTTCTGACACGTTAAAGCTAGTGCTTCTCTGACCAATTTCCAATTGTTCTACGCATTGGTTTTTTCTTCTTTCAGTACATCCTGTACGGCTTGGAACCTGTTGTTAAGAGCTATCTTGAATTTGTTGAGTTTGAAAGTATCTCGAAGGAAGGCTGTATTGAAGCTTTGTAATGCTGTTTCTCCATTTGTCCAGAGATTTGCTTGTACATAAAAAATCCCTTTGAGTATCATTATTTTAATTTATTATATTGGGTCACTTGATATATTAATAAAAATATATTTGTTGAACAAATAAACCACAGTTTTAGGATGATAACTTCCCAACGAGAAGGGATAATGTCCGATTATTTTATGATATATAGCTAGCAGTGAAATCCAATACTCAGGTTTCGCTCTATTTAGGACGCCTAAAGTGGATATACATGTACATCCGTCTTAGATTTCATGTTCACTTCGAGATTTGAACCCGGATCATTTGTAGTAATGAAAATCCATTCGTCTTTATTTATCTTATTGTAAATCTTAAGTTTCGGCATAATTTCACGCAGCTTATAACAAAAATTTAAAGTTAACTAACTGGTTGAATAATGTTTTCTCAAAAACCAGTTCATTTCACACCGTCAACTTAATCTCATTCTTTATTTTTCAGAGTATGAAGGAATTTTTTTCTACGTAAAGTATACGACTAGACAGCGCTGCCCAAATCAATATAAGAAATTCCTAACATCTAGTAGAAATATGAAATAACAACGAAAACAAATTGATTTCAGTTGTGTGCTGTTTTGATTCGAAAAGTCTATGAAAAACAATTTTGTCTTACTTTTTACACAATAAGACAAATAATAATCTTAACATTCCAAAAGTCAATATATTATTCACTGGCCAACTGTGTACTTTAATAATGGAACGAGTAAATATGTCAATGAAGAAGAGTACGACTAAAAGAGACTCATATTAACAAGAACTAGGGATATCGAAGAGGACTAATAAAAAGAGTGCATATCAGTAATAACGAGGTGTAAAAGAGGAAATGGAATGTTTAAGGATATGAAATTTATTCAGTTTGCCCTTTGTCCACCTGCATCTACGAACAATAAAATAATCTCAGCGTATTTCAAGCATTCAATGAACATTCTACTTTCTATAAATACAGTAACTTTTCTATTTCGCTAACAGTTTACTATTCATATTATAACATGCATCCAGTTCGGGGAATGAGAAGGGAATCTATTTGATCTGCCTAACCCTTTAGACCACTGAGCTGGCTGCCGACAGTGGTTTTAAGATGGATTTCTTGCAGTTCCAGTGAGAAGCCGTGGTCAATGGAGTTCAACGGTGTCTGTTGTGAGACACTCACTGAAGGTAATGGTGGACTGGTTTGAGTTTGACATTAACAACGCCAGATGCTGACTCAGTGATCAAGAGGTTAAGCGTTTGCGCGCAAGACTGAAAGTGCTGAGTTCGAGTCCTGCGTGAGGGATCGTGCATGCACACTTCTGACGAGTCCCACACTAGGACGGAATGGCCGTTCAGAGCTCCCAGATTTTTAATGGTGGTCTAACATCCATCCATTCATGATATCAATCTAAGTTCAACAATCTCCGCAACTCTATACTGATAATTCCCAAATGTCTTTGTCCATAGGATATTTTGAATTTATTACGATGACAATAATTGATTGTTATAACATGACATTTGACCGGTTAATCATTTGTTATTTGTTCTGTTTATGTATTTTATTCAATAATAAATTAAAAATTTCTTCATTTCTATAATTGCAAAATCAACTTTAGCAGAAGGGATTAAAACGTGCATCAGAATCTATTTTGAACATGATTTAAAAAAAATTCATTTCCAACTTAAAGTCTTTTTTGTTAGAAGGTGTAATCTATGTGGTCAAGAAGGTTGAATGTCGAAAAATATTTCTTTTTTATCATTAGGTGATAATCGAACACCATCTCTACGTGATTGAAGTTAGAAAAGATTATTGACCATTGAATACCAGGTCAATGACTTTGGTGTTGATGATCTTGAATCCGATATGATGAGTAATCAGATAGGTAGAGTTTTCTTTGAACCGAGTGATTGAAGTTTTGTTCTAAAGTGTGTGAAATAGTGCTGAAATTTAATGATGAAAAATTTTCGTGAAGTGAACGTTGAATCTCGGATGCAGGTACATCCACTTGAGTCTTCTCAAATAGAATGAAACACGAGTATTGGATTCTACTGCTAACCATATGCTATCTATACTACATAAACTTGTGTCGTAATCTTTATCGAGGTAATCTCTACAAAATGTGCATATAATCAACTGAGACTGATAGAATTTCAATGGAAATACCAACAGAAATGAACTCAATTGAAGCCTCACCTCCCTGATGGATTCGACGCATTCGATCTGCACTAAGAAGGACTTGACACACCTGACATTGATCACCACGCAGTGATCAATCAATTGTGCTTCATGGTCATTTGATCTGTGCTCTACGATAACACGTTGTACAGTCTTCTGAAATTTATACACTGGTAGGGAGTTATCATAATA